GGTGATCTAACAAGAAATTAGAAAGAAGCCTATTCTGGCTCATCTGGTTGATAGTGTTGACTGAAGGCTGTCCCTGGAGAAGGAAGGGAGCAGGAAGGCTGGGGTCTCACAGAGAAATTGTTCCTGAACCAAGCAGCAGTGAGGCTGTAACCGCAGGTTTGTTACAGGGTTTGAGAATGAGCAAGGTTTAGCAGGTGGCTGAGCCAGGAGCCACTGGACTTGAGATTGAATCCCTCCTCCAGTGCTTCCCATGGGACTAGCACTGTGTGAAGGTCTTTTCCCCTCTGAGCCTCAGTGCCCTGTTGAATGGAGCCACCTTTCCTTCTCTGTCAAGGATTCGATGTCAGTCCCTTACTGGCTTAGCCCAAGCTGAGACTCAGGAGGTGGGCATCAGCTCCCTGCTCCTCTTGGGTGGTTGCAGTCTTTGAGATTGGAGGATTCTTTCACCCCTGGCAGGCGTGCTGTGTTCTCTTTGTCACTGGGAGAAGGTAGGAAAGAGACTGGTAGCATTGATTGCTCTGCCAGCCTGTGTCCACAGAGGCCCCCCCTTTGCAGACTGCAGAGCTAGGAGGGCATGATCTCATGCAGAAAGCAGTGCCCAGAGAAGGGAAGTGACTGTCCCTGTCACATGGCCAGCAAGCAGCCTGGCCAGGATGAGGACTCATGATGTCTTGTGACTTCCCGCTAGTGCTCCTTCCTCTACTCCTCACAGCCATGGGCCACCTGGGTACCTCTTGTAGTCACTGAGTGCTCCCAAGGCTGCCTGTGCTCCCACCACCTTATGAGACCTTGTCTTAATCCCCATTTAGGGCCAGGATGGCCACAGGTGCCCCTTCAGAGGTCAGGATAGTCTCAGTTAAGTGCACTTCCTGCCCACAGAGAGATCACAGCCAGGAAGGGTGAATGGTGGGCTGAGATCTGCCCAACCTCAGGCTGTTTCTCTATAGAGAACAGGCTTTTCTTCCCACCTAAAGAGAGGCTTTACAAGGTAAGGCAGAGGAGGCTGCTGACAGCTCATCTAGAAAAAGCAGTGTAGGGCCGGCCCTGTGGCTTAGCGGTTAAGTGCGTGCGCTCTGCTGCTGGTGACCCGGGTTCGGATCCCGGGCGCGCACCAACGCACCACTTCTCCCGCCATGCTGAGGCCGCGTCCCACATACATCAACTAGAAGGATGTGCAGCTATGACACACAACTATCTACTGGGGTTTTGGGGGGAAAAAAATAAATAAATAAAATCTTAAAAAAAAAAAGCAGTGTAGCAAGATACTGTGGAAAAGGTCTAGGATCATTGTGCATATTATTAAGGGTAGGTGCTAAATCCTGGCTATTCAAGTGTGGGTCAGGAGCCAGCAGCATCCCATCACTTGGGAGCTTGTGAGAAATACAGAATGCCAGCCCCACCCCAGACCTGCTGAATTAGAACCTGCCTTTTAACAAGACCCCAGGAGATTCGTGTGCACTGAAAGCTTGAGATTTACTGCACTAAAAATGATCAGTAGTGAGATGATGGAGATTTTTATTTTCTTTGTACATTTTTTCCTGATTTGTTACTATTGTATTTTTTTCACATAAATTACCTTTTGTTAAATTGTGGTAAAATACGCGGAACATAAAATTTACCATCTTAACCATTTTTAAGTGTACGGTTCAGTGGCATTAAATACATTCACATTGTTGTGCGACCATCACCACCATCCATCTCCATAACTCTTTTCATCTTGTAAAACTGCAAATCTGTACCCATTAAACAATAACTCCCCATTCTTCCCTCCACTCAGCCCCTGGCAAGCACCATTATACTTGCCGTCTCTATGATTTTGATTACTCTTAACTATCTCATATAAGTGGAATCATACAGTATTTATCTTTTTGTGACTGGCTTATTTCACTTAGTGTAACGTCCTTAAAGTTCATCCGTGTTGTAGCATATTGCAGAGTTTCCTTCCTTTTTGAGGCTGAATAATAGTCCATTATATATTTCTCTCTCTCTCTCTCTCTACATATACCACATTTTGCTTATCCATTCATCTATCAACGGACACTTGGGTTGCCTCCACATTTTAGCTACTGTGAATAACGCTGCTGTGAGCATGGGTATACAAATATCTCTTCGAGACCCTGCTTTCAATTCTTTTGGGTATATACTCAAAGTGGAATTGCCGGGTCATTTGGTAATTCTGTCGCATGAATTACTTTTATGATCAAGAAAAATAGCAAAGGCATTTCAGGGGGAAAACCTTGTCAGTTTTCCAGGTTGCATTGCCCAAGGGCAAGTAGGGTTGCTGGATGCAGTACTTGGAAAAAGGAAAAATGAAAGCCTGACTTCTCTATTCTGGTGTTAGAGAGAGAAGAGCAGAAGCTAAAACTTCTGCTAGACAAAGAGCAGGATTTATTGAGAGACACAGGTGTCAAGAGAGATGTTTGAGGACCTGGGGCGGGTGGGGTCTCCAGCCATCCTGAATGATGCTTCAAGATGGCCTCTTGTCTGGAGGGAACGATGTGTAGGCTATCCTTTCTCAAAACCTCTTCCAGAAAAAATAACAGTGGCAGCGTTTGGGAAGTGACTTGTATTACTGTGTGTCTGCGGAGTGTCTGACTGATTTTGTCTGCGGGCCTGGAGTGAGGCAGGAGCCTTGTGTAGTGGGCCTAACACAGGCTTTCGAGGAGCACGGTTTTGCATCAGGGTCACAGGTCCATCAGTTAGTATTAAAATTAGAACAAAACCTAAACCGTTATCGTGGTCCATGAGACCCCTTGTGACTGGCCCTGCCTGCCTGTCTGATCTTTACTTCCTCTTTTTGGCTTTTTGCTCAAGTCACAGTGGACTTCATTCTGGCCCTGGAAGACCAGAAGCCAAGCTTGTTCCTGCCTCTGGGCCTGTACCCTGGCTGTGTGCTCTGCTTGGAACACTGGTCTCCCATCTTCCCGTGGCTGCTCTGTCTCTTTATAAAGGGCTCAGCTCAATGTCACCTGTGCAGAGAGGCCTTCTACTACCCCCCTGGCTAACACTGCCCTCTTGCTTCCTTCCTGTCTCATCGCCCCATTTGGTTTCTCTTCCTAGGACAACTCTCTAACATCATCTCATTACTTTGTTTACTTAGGGACTATATATTTGTTTCTTCCTAATAGAATTTCTGCTCCGCGAGAAGATGGCTCTTTTATACCATTTAACTCCTATGTCCCCAGCACCTGGAACATTGCCTGGCACACAGTAGAAGTTAAATAAATACTGAGTGGGTCAATGCACACAATTGCTTGTCCTTTCTGAGCCTCAGTTTCCCCATCTGTGGTATGGGGATCCTAATACCTGGCTTGTAGAGTGGTTGTGAAAATTACAGCACATGATGCATGTGGAGTACTCAGTTTAGTGCCTGGCATGCAGGAAATGCTCAACACACGGTCACAGTTGTTGTCAGCCAAGTGACCCTGGCATGACCTGGATGTATCGCTGACCATCTCTGAGGCGATGCCCTGCCAGTACTCCCTGGGAAGCCCAAGTTGAGTTGCTCAAGAGAGAAACAGGTTGGTGGCAATTCAAGGCCTGTGGTGTGGAGCATCTGCTCTTGTAATTGAATTTGAGTCTTCTTTGAAGCAACTGCGTTTTGTGTCTGGTGCATCATAACATGTAGCTGTGTCTCTGTTGATTGGTACCCTGGGCCTCTTGTGGAGCATCAGATGTAGCTCTGACGATGGTCTACCTGGTGCTTTGAAGTGTCCTTGTGCCAGACCCTCTTAAGTGAAAGTTTGGTGTATGCCATGTATGTCAGTTGGGAATGCTTTTGGCTGCAAGTAACAGACCAACATACAGTGGTTTGAACAAATGGGGTTATTTTTGTCTGTGTGTGTGAGGAAGATTGGCCCTGAGCTAATGTCTGTTGCCAATCCTCCTCTTTTGTTTTGGTGAGGAAGACTGGCCCTGGGCTAACATCCATGCCCATCTTCCCCTACTTTATATGGGACGCTGCCACAGCATGGCTTGATAAGTGCTGTGTTAGTCCACGCCAGGGATCCAAACCTGCAAACCCTGGGCCGCCAGAGCAGAGTGCGTGAACTTAACCACTATGCCACTGGACTGGCCCCAAAATGGGGTTATTTTTTGTGTGAGAGGTAGGAGATTTCTAACATTGGTTCAGCAGCAAAATGACATCAGGGCTGGTGTCTTTGGGATTCCGTTGGCCTTCCCTCCAGGCTTGTTGCTTCATGGTAGCAAGATGCTGCTCTGGTTCCATCCAATGTGTTTACGATTAAGGCATGAAGGATGGAAGAAGGGAGGAAGCCATTAATGTCTGTTCTTTTATTAGGTTGGCATAATTTCCCCAGAACCCGCCCAGTGCACTTCTGCTTGTATCTCATTAGCTAGAACTTCTTCAGGTCAGCCTTATAAGAGAGGCTGAGAAAAGAAGTAATTAGGTTTTTCAGCTTGTATTGCAGAAGGCGGCATGGGAAAAGGATGTTGGAGATGATTGTGAGGTCCGCCAATGAGCGTTGCCTTCCGTACTAGGAAACCTATATTTTAAGTTAGACTATTGGTTCTCAACTGGGAGCAGTTTTGTCCTCCAGATGACGTTTGGCAGTATCTGGAGACATTTTTGTTGCCACAGCTAGGGGGGGTGTGTGTGTGTGTGCACGCGCTAATGGCATCCAGTGGGTAGAGGCCAGGGATGCTGCTAGACATCATACAATTCACAGAGCAGCCCCCACCACACAGAATTATCTGGCCCAAAGGTTATTAGTGCCAAGGTTGCGAAACCCTGAGTTAGACCATTTCAGACACGTTCTTCAAATTTGGGGAAGATTAGTTTAGCTGCTTTCCTGTGATGCAGTAACAGGCAAATGGTCAAACTTCCTTGTCATGATGCAGATTATTGGTACTTGGTCTTGTTATTGCTTTTATTAAAGAGAAGGCTGAGGCTATTTGGGGACAGCCATATAGTATATGTCAGAAAGTTTTAATAGAAGGCTAATGTTAAACAGAACTAATTAAGCCTCCTTGCATTTTAGGATCACAGAACAATGACACGAAAAGACAATTTCTGCTGGAGCGACTGCTGGATGCAGTGAAACAGGTAAGAAGAAAGCTCACTTTTGACTTTGAGGTCAAGTGATAGTGTCAGATAGTAGAAGTCATTTCTGCCCTTCTGTGTACACAGACTTACTCCCACTTTGTATCTGGGAACAATGAGGCTGATAGTTTTCCCCAGGAAATGACAGAGCAGGGAAGGCCACCAGAGATAGGGACAGAGGAGCTCCTGTGTCCTGACTTTCTAAAGCCCTCTGGAGGACCCCATGCTTTGAGAAGGGCATTGATGTGGGTTTCAAAGTCTCATTTCCAAGCAGTTGTGTTTTAGGGCAACTCTTATGGGTGCTGAGGTGGTGATTGGAGTTAGGACCCCATAAGCACACGAACAGAGACGAGGCGGAGTGAGGTCATGCCCAGGTGGGCTCTGCTCTGATTGGTTGATGCTACTTTTGATGCCTGGCTTTTGGCTGGGTATGGAGGTGAGCTTGGATGGGAGGCTGGCATCAGTTTGCTTGCCTGCATGTAACAGACATGCATGGTTTATTGTACCTTCACCTTGTGCCAGGCACTCTGCTAAGTGCTTTACATTTAATCCTTCCAACCACCCCGTGAGATAGTTCCTGCAATTATTTCCGTTTTACAGATGAAGAAACCGAGGCTCGGAAAGGTCAATCATTTGTTTAAGGTGTCACAGTTAATAAGCAGCAGAGCTAGGATCAAACCCTGGGAATTCTAGGCAGCTCACGTTTTGGAAGAGGCAATTGACAATTATATGTGTGTAATCACAACATAGGGAGAAGAATACTTTAATAGAGGCCTGTGGTGAGTGTTGATGTGAGCCCAGAGAATTCAGCACCTGCCCAGGCATCAAGGCATCCTGGTGTGGTAGGGAGGACACAGGCTTTGGGCTCGGGTGTAGCTGGAGTCGAATGCTGGCTTCGTGTCTTCACAGCTGTGTGTGTTGGGGCAATACATTTAGCCTCTCTGAGCATCCCTCTTCTCTGTCCTCGGGTTGCTGATCTCCTTACGGCTGTTGAGGGAACTGTGTTTGTTAAAGCAGGTGAAGGGCCTGGGCAGCGCCCGGTCCACAGTAGGTTATAACGGTCCTACGTTGTTATTTTCTTCTTTCTTTGCACCAGAAATGGAAAAGATAACAAGAAGATGAGGAGGCAGGTTGAACCGCTTTAAATGTATCAATTAAACAAATACATTGGAGCTTATGCTTAAAGCTGCTATTTTTATTATTTTGAGGGATGAAAGTGTTATATATATATGTCTTTTAAAATATCAACTTTATTTGTAGATATATATATATAACTTTTAATGATACATTTGTCAAAACTCATGGAACTGCACACTTAAACCTGGTGTATTTTATTGTATGCAAATTATATATGTGTGTGTGTATATATATGTGTGTGTATATATATATATTTTGGATAATAAGTTCAGGAATCTTGCAAGGCTGCTACCCACAGCAGAGATTCTACACCTTTAAAAGAGGTTAGTGGATAGTGGTGATGGCTGCATAACATGTGAATTGAATTGTGTAACTAAAAATGGTTAAAACGGTAAATTCTATGTTATCTATAGTTTATCACAATTAAAAAAAATGAAAAGGAGACTAGTTTGCTTTCGTTTGTACCCAACCTGGGTAAATTGATGTTCAGCACAACCAGTTGACTTGTTTGAAGCTTGATTAATGCTGCCATAATTTTATAGTCAGTCATAACAACTTTGGGGCTCTGTCAAAAGAGACCCATCACTGCAGATTTATAGAAGTTTTGTTTATTGCTTGTTGAGAGCTCTGTGTTACGGTCAGCTGCTGACAGATGGGAGAAGCTTCCTAGATAATCTGCAGAAGGCGTGTGCTTTTGTTTCCTCTTTGCATTGTTTACCCACAAGGCTCACTTGTGTACAACTGGGAGATAAGGGCTTCGTTTAAGTGGTGGCTGGAAGGCTGGGATGTCCACTGTCTTACTTCTTGGGCTGACACCCAGGGCACGGGGATGCCCTCACTCAGCACCCAGAGTTTCTGGCCCTGTGTCCCCCGTGACCCTGAAGGCCTGTGTGGGCTCTTTTGTGATGTTCAAGTGTCACGTCCCAACAGCTGATCTCAGTGGCTTCTTTTTCCTTGCAGTGCCAGATCCGCTTTGGAGGGAGAAAGGAGATCGCCTCGGATTCCGACAGCAGGTAAATATGTTGCTTCTAAAAGCAGTTACCGGGCCGGCCCCGTGGCTTAGCGGTTGGGTGCGCACGCTCCACTGCTGGCGGCCCGGGTTCGGATCCTGGGCGCGCACCGACGCACCACTTCTCCGGCCATGCTGAGGCCGCGTCCCACATACAGCAGCTAGAGGGATGTGCAGCTATAACATACAACTATGTACTGGGGCTTTGGGGGGAAATAAAATAAATAAATAAAATCTTAAAAGCAGTTACCGTCAAGACCCAAAAGGTGGCCAAAAATGACCAGCTTCTGTATCCTGCCTCTGCAGCCAAGTGGTGCAGTGATTAAATGTGGGTGATCTGTAGACCATCTAGGCAGTGACCACTTGTCTAAAGTATTTCCAGTGTCCCATAATTCTCCTTCTAGTAATCTATTCTGAGGGAATTTCTTGAAATACCTTTCTATATAAAGTTATTTTCAAGGTAATTTAAAATGATGAAAACTTGGAAATCTAAATGCTCAACAGTTGGGAAATGGTTAATAAAATGTAGTGCATTAGTAGAACAGAACGTTATATAGCCATTAAATTGACATCCGTACAGAATTTGTTTTAAGCAGAAAAATTCATATGTAGTAATTTAAAAATTATGTATGTAGTAAAGATAAAAAGAGCAGGATACAAAATTATATGGATGCAGAACAATCCTAGCTATGTTAAACAAGTCTGGTGAAAAACGTACCAAAATGTGAACAGAGGCAATGTTGGGGTTAAGGATATTGGGAATCTTTATACTTTCTGATATTTTTCATATTTTATGCTGTGATCATGTGTTCCTTTTATAATTAAAAAAAAAAGTCCTAAAAATTGTCATTGGCCTTCCTGACCTAAGAAAGGCTGACATAATCACATAAGCTTATAACATTGCCTGGGAGGAGACACCATGTTTTGGTAGAGGTAGGAGACACACAGGCATTTGCTGGAAATGCTTTGTGAAGTCACTCAGAGCTGATTCATGCCCTGCAGCTGTGCAGGGGCAGGAGGAACATTCCTGCAAAGGAAGAGAAGGGAACTAACTCACTTGCTCAGTGTTTATCTCATCCTGGAGCCTGTCCATGTCCCTATGCTGTTACCCTGATCCACCTAGCAGAGCCAGTTCCCTTCTCTGTCCTTGGAGACCCTTGATCTTTGGTGACACGTTACCAGCCCCGAGCAAAGCATGTAGTGCTATATTTTCATAAAGCCTGGGGACTATTTGGAACTGGTGCAGATTTAAAATTGAATCCCCTCCCTTAACTCTCTATCTCTTCTTTGCTTAGTTTTTCTCCATAACACTTACCACCAACTAACAGACTGTACATTATGCTTTTTGATTTTGTTTTTTCTCTCTCATACCATAATGTCACTGCTCTGAGGGCAGGGATGTTTTGCCGTCTTGCTCACTGATGTATCCCCAGTGCCTAGAAGCATCTAGAAGGTGCTCAGGAAAGATTCATTATCTGGGTGAGTGTGTGCATAACATTGTGCCATGTCAAGTGTTTAAATGTTTGTGCCACCACGAGGCTTGAGGGCAGAGGGGCAATTTCTCCATTTTTTTTATTCCTCAGTGTTTTGCACAAACATATTGTGCCTGTCACACATAAGGTTCTCAGTATATGTTGGCAGCATTAGATCATTAGACTGGTTTATTGTTTCACTTCTTCCTGAGGGCCTACTATGGAGCTGGCCTTGGTCAGCACTGGGTTCCTCATTGTGGGACCCAAGGTCCACCTGCATCAGAGTCACCTGGGAGGCTTGTTAATTAATACTGCAGTTCTACATCCCATCCTAGATCTACTGACTCAGGCTGTGTGTACGGGCATGAGTGCATGTGTGTGTATGAGTGTGTGGGGGTGGGGGTGTGGGAGGGGTGTATGTATTCAGGACTTCTTTACTTTATCCCTTTTTTTCATAATTGTGCTGTCCATGCCCTGAGAGAGAGAAACCATTTCTAAATGTCAGATTAGTGTGTTCTTGTGCAGTAGAATTTACTACTATAACTTTTATTATGTAAAACGTTATGTTTTGTAGTAGAATTTAAAAAGTTAATTCTTTCCATGGTAACTGGTTTACGGCTAAAAGGAGTATGCTGCTTAATATTAGTAATAATAGTTACTGTTTCTTACTGTCCCTGCCACTCTTGATTCATGTTGACTCTTGGTCTTCAGGACAGTCTCAGGAAGAGTGGCGTGTTATTCTTTCTTTACAGATGAGAAAACAGAGGCTCAGAGAGGTGAAATAACCCAGCCCAGGTTGGACATCTTGGAAATATTAGAGTTGGAAGTTGGAGCCTAGTTTCTTGGGCTCCAAAGCCTATTGTTTCTCTGTTATATCACATTTAGTGATTACATTGGTTTTGAAGCTGGGTTTAAAAAAAAAATTGTTTTTTTCTCCCCTAGAGGGTTCCTTCTCAATATCAGAGTCTTGGCCTTGTCTTTGAAATGTGTTTGGCTGAGGGTGGCACCACCTTCATATAGGAAAGGCCACACCAGTGTCCTTATTCCGTGAGAAAGTTTAACCTCAAGAGGGAAAGTCAGTGAACTTTTAAAAGTAACTGTTGTTGAGATCTGACAAAATAGATGTCACCTCTCCTCCTCAGCCCTGACAAATTGCCTAGCACTGGAATTGATTTCAGATCCATTTGCTTCTCTCCAGCTCCCCTGCTGTCACCCTGTGCCAGTTGCCACGTCTCTCGCAGGACGGCTGCCATAGACTGGCTCCCCGTCTTCCTTCTTGTCCTGCCTCCTCTGCACTGAGAGAATTCTACAGAATGCAGATTCCCTCACGTCACCCGCCATGGAAGCCTTCCCCTGGCTTCTCTTTGCTCTTGGGAAAAAGACCCACCTCCTTAACACAGCCTGGAGGCCTCACACCTTTCCCCTGACCCTTTGCTGCAAACTCCCTGGCCTGGCTTTTCCTGTTTTTTGTTTTTAATTTTAAAGCCTTTCAATAATTTTTCAGGGAAATCTTCCAGACCCCTGATACCACTCCTCCCCCCTCCTCCCCAGGCCTGGCCATCTGGACCTGTTTTCCTTGCTCAGTGCCATGGGTTAGCAAACTCTTTCTGTAAAGGGCCCGATTTGGCCCACGGGCTGTACTTTGCTGACCCCTGTCTATACCGTTATAGTCTGTCAATTTCTATTCAAATTACATATTTGTATGAAGATGTGGGGATCAGAATTGGCCACCCCAAGATGTATCTCTTTGGCATGAGGATCATTTTTGTCTGGTTATTTTTTTAAAAACTGCAGACATGAGAAAAGCTCCGAAAACCAAGTAGAAGTTACCCTTTGTAAGGGACATTTACATTTATAAGGGAAATCTCCATTTGTAAAGATATCTCCCTCTCTGTACCAGGAAGAGGGGGATGACCTTATCTCTAGAAAGTCTTATCAGTGTGGAAGGCAGGGACTTAAATCTGCATAATAACCTTACTTTTTGTTGACTGCTTTTCTGGTAATCTCCCACAACTGACTCTCCGCACCCGAACATTCTCCTTTGTCTTGAGCTGAAGATAGTATTTAAGCAGGCAACCTCAGCCATTCTGGAGAGTTACCCAGTTTTCCTGGGTTTCTCCCATGTATACATGTTATAAAGCTTTGATTTTCTCCTGTTATTCTGTTTCATGTCAATTTAGTTCGTAGCCCAGCCAGAAGGACCTACAGGGTAGAGGAATTCTCTTCCTCCCCTACAAAGAATTGGTTACACCTGTCGCTCAGCTAGACGGCAAGCTGGAAATGAGCCTATTTTGCCCACACTCTATCCACAGTGCTTGACACATGGCAAGTGCTCAGTACATATTTACTGCATCACTCATTTGTCCAACAGTTATTTACTGAATGCCTACTTGGCGCAAAGTTCTGTGCTGGACACTGGAGCTTCCCAAATATTTCAGACAGGTTTCTATCCCTCAGGTGGCTTTCTTTCCACTGGGGAAGATAGTCCAGTAAGCAGTGATTACGGAATGTGGTGCTTAGGACTAGTCCAGGGGCTGTTGATGTGCCCTGGGCAGGCTGCAGTGAGAGTGTGTGGGCTTGTAAGGCCCAGCTTGGAATCTGGCTCTTCCCCTTTCCAGCTGCGTCACCTGCCTAACTTCTCTGAACCCAAGAATTAGGTCTACTGTGATATTGTGATTTATAATAAGAAATGTATATATTTGTTCTTCACCTCATTCCTGGCACCAGCACAGAGCTCCAAAACTCCTGGAATTTCCAAAGTGCTGATAGATGGAAAGGTGTCTTTTGTTATGTTAATGAGGCGAGTTTTGGAAAGCACCAAAGGTTGGGGGCTGGTTGCCAGGAGAACCAACCATGTGGTTAGAGGGTGGGAACTTGTAGTCCCACCCCTCTCCACCCCCGCACCCCCACCGAAGAGGGGAGAGGGACTGGAGATTGAGTTTAGTTGCCAATGGCCAGTGATTTCATCAATCATGCCTATGTAATGAAGCCTCCAAAACCCAAAAGGACGGGTTCGGAGAGCTTCTGGGTTGTTGAACACTTGGAGGTGCCGGGAGAGTGGCCTGCTTGGAGAGAGCATGGAAGCCCCGCACTCTTTTCCCGTACCTTGCCCTAAGTATCTCTTCTATCTGGCTGTTTCTGAATTATATCCTTTTATAATAAACCAGTAATCTAGTAAGTAAAATGTTTCTCTGAGTTCTGTGAGCAGCTCTAGAAAATTAATCGAACCCAAGGAGGAGATTGTGGGAACCTCCGAGATATATAGCTGGTGAGTCAGAAGCACAGGTGACAACCTGGACTTGAGACTGGCATCTGAAGTGGGGTGGGGAGGGTGCTGTCTTGTAAGACTGAGACCAACTTGTGGTATCTAATGCTGTCTCCAGGTAGATAGTGTCAGAATTGGGTTGAATTGTAGGACACCCAGCTGGTGTCGGAGAATTGCTTAGTGGTGTGGGGAAACCCATCCGTCAGAAAAGGTGACCAGGATCATATCTACCTGACCAGTTGTGAGGATTAAGTCAGATCCTGAGTG